TGATCAGCTCCTCTCTTCAGTTTGTTCTGTTAAGTGTTTAAAATGAAAGGGAGAAGCTGATTGGTTGCCATGCACAGATGCTTCAGATTTTCTTGGGTCCAGTTTTAATGAATCCCCCTATAGCACCTTTATGCATGGCTGGAGGAACAGTACCAGGTTCTAGCAACAGATGTAGCTGTCCTTAAAATCTGGAGTTAAGGATCCCAGTTCTATAATTTCCAAAGCTTTGCTTGAGTGCAGTTTATTAGATTTTGTTATTTGCACTAACAGTTCATTTTTTAGGACAATCTTTTAGGGGTCTAACCCCTCCTTCTAGGCCTAAGCAGTCCAGATACACAGATATTCAGCAAAATGTTGAGGCAGATTGACTACAATCACCCTAAGCAGAGTTTTGCTTAAAGAGTATGTCAGGGGAAAATAAAAACATATGCAGTACGGACACTCATCATTTTACGATGTTTTGCTAAACCCATCATAACCCGATTGTATCGTAAACTGAGGAGTTTACTTGTGTAGTTTACTGCCGCGGTCAGTACGCAATGGGAATAAATAGGAAAACTGCTATTGGCTAGTTCAAATTGCAATAGCGGCTGGCTATTGAATCCCCACCCACTAAGACGAGGAGTGGACCTGAGAGAGAAAGTTTTCTCTCAGGTCCGCTCCTCTGCTCAGTGGGCGGGTGCAATAGCCAGCCTGCTATTGGCTATTGCAATCTGAAAAGGCCAATAGCAGTCTTGTTAGTGACACCAGTTGTCTACATTCACTTGCCAACTGCGGAAGCGAGCTGGCAGGTGAATAGGAAGGGCTGGTTGCATGAGAGTTACTATTAACTCTCAAGCAACCAGAAACTACAGTTACCTACCGATTTGTGGGTGCCGAATAACGTGGAGTTTACTGTACAGTAAACTCCATAGTAAATGTGAAAAATCGTAACTCGATTGATCGCAAACTGAGGAGCATCTGGACATCTCTGCAATACACGCACATTTCCCCATGTTTTATCCCTTTAAAGTACAGAACAGTAACTGTTGATCTGCCAGAAATGCTCAGTTCATAATTCCTTATTGTGGGCCGACAACCCACTTTTTTTGTGGACTGAGTGGTGTCAGCCCTGCCCAGTTTTCTTTTGCTAAGCTACTCAACCCCACCACCTTTCCTATTATTTACAATAGACACTAAATATTCCATAGTCCAAGAATTTATTTTTAAGGTTTAGAGGAGAACTATGAGATGAGTGATTTCCACTCACCTCATAGTTCTAGCCGACCTGTGACAATGAGACTGTCACAGGTCGGCTCAGTAGATCGGGAGGTGAGCGAACACATACCGGGTTCGCTCACCTCTCGATCCTGTCACGGCTCTCTGCCGTGACAGGGGGAGGGGCTCGATTCCCCTCTCCCCGCTCCGATCTGCCAGCGTTGACTGGCGGAACGGACGGGGGAGGGGGCGGGTACAGCTGGCTCTGCCTCTAAATAGGCAGAGCCAGCTGTCACTCACGCAGCTGGGCGGATCTCAACATCGATGTCGGGATCCGCTCCGGCTGCGCGTCTCAGTATACCGCGAGCTGTAGCTCGCGGTATACTGAGCTTAGGGTAACTGGAGGACGCTAGTTTGTGTCCTCCCGTTACCCTAAGGAGAACTATGGGGTTAAACACTGACCCCATAGTTCTCCTTTAACTCCTTAGTTTAATGTCACTTTACTCATCATGTGTAGAGTGTTTTTGCCGCTGCTCAGAATCAGATTCCTTTCCATTATAATGACTGCTTTGTAATCAATCTCAAAGGAGGCATCTCCTTCCCCTGCTTATCCAAGACAGACAATGCATTGTTGTGAGTAGCATGTTAGTGATTTGCTACATTTACTGATGAGTTCTGCACTTATGTTTTCTGCACACCCTCCTTTTGAGAACATGTTTTGCAGTCCATAAGAAAAAATTTGTATATTCAGAAAAGAAGCAGTTAGGAATCTCAACTTATTGCTAAACCCTCTCCCCACTGGGATAAATGTAGTAAATCATGTTTTTTGTCGTGTCATTGCAATTTATAATTCTGCGTTGTCAATAGAAAGCATTTTTTCTCTTTTCTAGAAACCTTCCTGACAATCCAGACATACAATGGGACAAGCATCTCCTCTCAGATCTAATTCTAACCCATATAAACCAGAAGAATGTTGATCTGGTGAGTGTTCAGTAATGGTATCTTTTATCTAGTTTTGAATTTATTTCATAGTAATGTAAATTGTAAATGCTACATATATTTTTTCTGGAGTGCGGTTTTAAACCCAATCACTAAAATCTCATATATTTATGCATAGCTCACCTCTATGACTCCCAGTAATCTTTACTGATTTTAGTTTGGTTTAGGAGATCAAGTTCATTTGCATATTAGCTCCCTCTAGCTTCAGAAACAACATTTTCGGTTATATTGAGCTATCTACACAGCGTTACGATTAGAATTTGTATGGGTTTTTGTTAAAGTGACACAAAACCCTCAGATTTTTTCTCCTTATACACATCTACACAATGAACATTCTCCAAAGCCACATTTACTCATGTTTTAAAATAAAGTCTTACTATTTTAATCCCTATATAAAGTCGGCTGTGCTCACTCCCGTGTCTCTTCTCTCCCCTCACTAGGGTTGCCACCTGTCCAGGATTCACCCAGACAGTTCGGGTTTTGAATGCTGTGTTCGGGTTTCATGGCAGCTGAAACCCGGACACATGATGTCAGACAGACAGGGGCAACCAAAATGAAGATAGGGGCTACTGGCCCCCCACTGAAAATAGTCTCAACTGTGATATTTACATAGGAATGGATGGCGCTATTTACATATGAATAAGCCACGGCTCATTCCCTCCAAAAAATGTCTGCGCGTCGCTTGAGTGTTCGGGTTTCGCTTGAAGAAAAGGTGGCAACCCTACCCCTCACACTTCCTTTCACTTAGAAAGAGCCGTGCACGTTGATTCTGGTCACGTGCACATCTTTCTTTGCCTACAACTCCCATTGAGGCAGAAAGGAATCATCTCTAACTGCACACAGCTGCTTCCCCTCCCCTCTCCTCACTATACAAGCTGTGACAGTACACCGCTTGTAATCTCTGCAATGCTGTGAATTATCAAAACTACTTACAATAGCTTTACAACAAATCTACAACAAAGAATCAAGCTTACAACAATACACCGAAAAAAAAACATTATTTCAAATGTAGGAGCCGTATCCTCTGTGACTGTTTGACCAGATTCAGCGTGTGAGCTGAGACTCAGAAGAAAGTATGAGGCTGGTGACAGCTCACATGCTGAATCTCCTCACAAGCAGCTGCCCCCACACTCCCTCCTTGGTAAGCCAGGAGGAGAGAAATCAAAGCTCATATATTAATGTGGGAGAGCCTAAGAAATCCCAGCTCCTTGCAGAGTCTAGAGGGGAGGATTTGTGGGCGGAGACTGAGAAGACACGCCCCCAGCATGTTGTAGTCCTTCACATGAACCAGCATAGAGGGTGGCTACTTTTCAGCTCCTATAGGGACCATGGAGAAGAAAAGTAGCCACCCTCTGGCAGGAAGTTGTGGATGGAGAAAAATAAAATGGATTTTGGAGCATATAGAGCTGAACAATGACAAAAAAAAGTACACAGTCATTGATTATTTATATAAAAGAAGTTATTTAATTTCTGTGTTTAATGTTGCTTTAAGATTTATATTGCCCAACTAAAATCATTGGATTACTTTGCTGACACTCAACTAACAGGAAACGAGTCATAATTCTGACTTGAAAGAAAAACATAGTCACAGGACAGGTTTTTTGTACACTATAGAATGTACACTCATAAGCAATGCGGTTATTAGCTACTGTATGTACTGCCCTGTTTTTCTTGTTTAATTTGCTATAATGTGAAGAACATTGAGGAAATTCTAGTAGTTGTTTGTGCAGTACATGCACCCTCTAGTGGTAGAAGTGAAGTAGATCACAAATTGTATATTAAAGTGACACTAAACTCAGAAATGAAATCTTAAAAATGCGTTCAAGTACCTTAACTATTAACAAAAATGTATCTTACATGTGTATCACTTGGCTTTAGATCCTCCAATAATCTGATGCTGACACCGTCCTTCCTTCTGGAGGGTGGCTTCTTTTTTTCCCCTATGGTCCCTGTGTGTGTTGTAGTGTAGCCACTTCCCCAAGCTCACTCCCGTGGTACCCATCCAAATTATCTATTTACACGGTACCACATAAGCGCCTAATAGACAAGCTGAGATCTGTGGGCATAGATGAAATGGTGTGTACATGGATAGATAACTGTCCGGAGAGTATTGATAAATGGCTCTTTTTCAGATTGGTCTAAGGTCGAGAGTGGCGTGCCTCAGAGTTCTGTGCTGGGCCCCATCCTGTTTAACCTGTTTATTAATGATCTCGGGGAAGGTGTTAATAGCCATGTTTCTGTGTTTGCTGATGATAAAATTGGGAGGGTAATATACATGAGCTTAGACATTATTACATTACAGGAGGACCTGAATAAAATAGGGGAGTGGGCAACTATATGGCAGATGAGGTTTAATGTTCAAAAATGTAAAGTAATGCATTTTGGGGTTAAAAATAGGCTAGCGGATTACATATTAATGGGAACTTCACTAGGGAAGTCAGAAATGGAAGAAGATTTAGGGGTCATAGTAGACCAAGAATTGAACAATAGTAGAGCTGCAGCTAACGATTATTTTCAAAATCGATTAGTTAGCCGATTATTAAGTTCGAAAATAGCTTGCAATGCCCGGCTGCGGCAAACAAAGCAAGCAGAGTACTGTCTTGTATTAAAAAAAGGAATGTTCTGTAGAGACAAAGCAATACTTTTGCCACTTTACAGATCACTGGTTCGGTCATCTGGAGTATGTGGTCCAGTTTTGGTCACCAATCCACAGAAAGGTTGTCCTTGTGCTGGAGAAGGTCCACAGAAGGGCAACTAAACTAGGGGCTAGAGGACCTAAGACAAGGTTACTAAACTTAAACTTGTTCACGCTGGAAGTGAGGAGATTAAGAGGGGACGTGATTCTGATGTACAAAATGTTTAGTGGTAATGGCAACATCAGCAATAAACCTTGTACTGTAAACTCCGTAACAAGGAAAAAAAGATTTAACCACAAGGGGCGTATGGGGCTTTTTTTCAGGTAGAGCAGTTAAAGTCTGGAACTTGCGGCCACAAGCAGTGGTATCAGCAGAGCGTATTGAATCATTCAAAAATCAATTAGATACCATCCTCAGAGACCGTAACATAAAGGGGTACAGGTATTCTTAAAAACGACATTACTCAGGGACTCGTGTACACACAAACACATGCACAATCACATACAGACACACAAAGGTTGAACTTGATGGACCTGTGTCTTTATTCAACCTCAAATACTATGTAACTATACAACTATTTTAAATTATTTAAATTTAGTTGGTTACTAGTTAAAAAAGGAGAGCCTTTTTTGTGTAGAGTATAAATTCTACAGAGCACAGCAACCCCTGCTATATAAATGTCAAAGAAGCTTAAAACAATTATTCGTCAGATCTCACTAGAATGATGATTTGTCAGGGCAGCTGTGCTCACATTGAACTCATAATTCATTTTCATGGCTACTGTTTTTTCTTATTATTTCAGGAAAATTGACCTATGCAATCTCTATTTCAGGTGATCACATTTGATGAAAAAGGAGTTAGTGGCCATTCCAACCATATTGCCTTGTACCACGCTGTAAGGTAGAGTGTTCCAGCTACAGCTCACACAATCGAGTGACAATAACTCTATGACTAATTTACATACCTAAATGATTTTTATATTTTTTTATAATCCTTGTTTTATTGATTGCGTGTAATAATCTACTTTTTTGAGGTTGTGGATTTGGGGTTCTTGGGGTTTTCATGAGCTGTAAGCCATAATCATCACAATTACCGTATATACTCACAATATTTATTTAGCTATTCTTGTTGTATACACCTCTACCAATTAGTAAAAGTACTCTTCTACTTCCTGGTTTACTAGGTCATCTGCAGCCTCATGTGAAGATGCAGATACGCATTCCAATCAGGGCCGGTGCTAGCATTCTTGCCTACACAGGCAAGGTGCATTTTTGCGCCCCCCCCCATCCCCGACCCCTGTAAAAACAGGGCATTTTGACAAGTACTTGTACTTGTCAAAATGCCCCGATGTTTGCTCTGTTTTTTTTTTTCACTTACCTTCGGCGCGGGAGAGCCTAATTTAGCAGGGCCGCGACTGGC